GAAAGGAGTCGCCGCAGTGTCTCCAGGCGATGGTTTCCAGAGTCCCACTGGGGAGGAAGTTCCTCCTGTCACCTAACCTGCAGTTCCCCTGTTGCAGAGCCCTGCCGAGCTCCCAGTCCAGCCCAGGCTGCCTGGCGGAAGGAAGGGCGGGGCCGACGGGGGCGGGGCGGGGCCGTGGAAGACTCCTCCTACCGAGCCTCCCAGGCGCTCGGCGTTTGCATAAACAAGAGAGCTGGAGAGGCTGCCCTCAACAGTGCGCTGGGGAAAGGGGAGGGAACGTGACAGGCAGGTGTGGGATAGGGACTTCTCTTCCGGTCAGAGCAAGGGGCGTCCGAAACCATAAAAACACTTTCCCTTCATCTCACCCCAGATCCAAAGTCCTGAGGCTAGGCTGGGGCGGGAGTGGCACGGAGATGTAGGGCGCCCCTTTTAGCTGCGCACAGAACGAAAGAACTTGTTTTTTCTTTAAGTGAGTGTACTTGGGTGACGCTTAGGGCGCCCTCCGCAGTGCGCGCAGGAAAGCGCACTGAGGCTGCGGAGGCAGAGCTGCATGCTGGGTGCGGGGAGAGGTGGGCGAGAAGCAAAAGAAGGAAGATTTGGGAACGCATGGTTTAGGGTGGGGTGGAGTGGAAGGGCAAATGGGGACCATACTAGACTGCAGAACTAACTAAAAGGGCACGGACTCAGCGACTCCGCGACGGAGCCTGCCTGGGTGAGGGAGTCTCTGGGACGCAGGGGGCTCCCGTAGCTGGCAGGTTGCTGGGCAGGAGGGGGTCACAAACACGGCAGGGAAGTCTCGTCGCTGCGAAGGGAACGCGGCATCCATCTCTCCTCGGGAACTGAGGACAGAAAAGGTCTGAGAACCTGCCCTCTCCCGCCACTTCCTCTTCCCCCTCCTTTCCCCCTTTCAGTACCAGAATTCTTTGGGCGGGGAGTGCCAGGCGGCCTCAGTCACCCAGAACCCCCCACCCCGAGTCAAAGCGCTGAAATGCGCCCCGCGGCAGGTACGTGTGCGAGCCGCGATGTATTTCTGCCCCTCGGCCGGGCTTGTGCAGCCAAATGGGGTGGCTTTGCATATGTATGTCCCCGTCGCAGCCTCGGGGGTCTGGATGTATCAGAAAACCTGCAGGGGCAGGGTGCATTTTCCCCGGCTGGGAGGGGTGAGGACGGGCAGAGGAAAGGGCTAGGGATTCCATCCTTTTCTCCTACTCAGGCGTCCCACCCCGCCGCCTAGGGGCCGTGTTCATTACCTTTGAAAATGCTCAGTTCTTCTTCGGTCCAGGGCGGGGCAGAAAGGAGGATACAGAGGGAGAAACAGGTGAGCTCCTGGAATCCGCCCAACCCTCAGCCTCTAACCACCCACCCACCTCCCATCTCGGATTTCTATCCCACAACCCTTGGCTCCCTCCACGCCCCCTGCACCCCCAGCCCGCCCTTATTCTCCCCCTGCTCCTTCTGGGGAGGGCTGGGAAGGGCAGCTGTCAGCCTGCCGGCGCGCCGCCCGCCTCACCTGGCCTAGTCTCCGCTGGGGCCGCCGCCCGCGCCTCCCCGGGCCACCCCAGCTCCGCCAGGCCCCCCAGGGCCCGGGCCCTTCCGGCCGCGCTCTCCGCTCTTTATCTTCTTCCGAGCCATGTGGCCCCGAAAACTCGCCTGGATTTTGGCGGCGGCCGCGTTGGCGCCGGGGTCGTCCAGCGGGATGTCTAGAATGTCGTCGTCCGGCTTGGAGCAGGCGTTCTCCTGGGGGCGGAGCAGGAGGGTTCTTGTGGGGTCACTGTATCTTGATCCGCGGGAGTGGGGTAGGAAGAGCCCTGAGGGACTGGGACTATAGCAATACGGGGGTGGGAGGTGCGGGGTGTCGAGCCTGGAGCAGGGCTATGGCAGGGACACGCACTGGGGCATGGGCAGCGACAGGCGAAGAAGGTTCAGGGCCAGGTGGACAGTCATGTCTCAATTCAGGAAAGAGAAGTGCAGGCAGGACTGGGTGTGGAAGAGCCAGGCCCATCACCAGCACCGAGTTAGGGGTCTGCAGAGCTGATTGGAGGCGGGTTTGGAGCAGCAAGGAAAACAGCGGCAGGCACTCCTGGAGTGGCCGCCTGTCCCCCTGCTCTCAGAGGGTAACTCCAGCTCAGAAGGACCCAGTGTGAGTCCAGGGTTTTCCATGGAGAGGGTGGAGAAGCCTCAGTCCGCCAGCCCTCTCCCCAGTAGAAATGCAGGAATCTCACAGCTGGAATTGGGGAGAAGTTGGGGATACTAGTCAGTGAGTCAGCCTCCCCCGACCTAAGACTAGAGGCCCAGAGATTGTTTTCCCATTGACTCTTCATTTTCCACTGCCCAAGGATGAACTAACTCAGACACAGGAGATAGGCGATGATTTGGATGAAGTGATAGAGAAAAGTCTTCACTCCAAGGAAAAAAAAAAAAGAAAAGGAAAGGAAAGGAAAGGAAAAGACCAGCAGGAGCAGGAAGCCCTCCCCAGGGTGTGCTTATGACGAAGAAAGGAATTATGGTGATAACTACCACTTAAGCACTTATCTTGTTCCAGGTGCAATAACAGTGTTTTACAGGCATTATTTTATTTAGTCCCTCAAAATAAAGCTATTACATACCCTTTTATGATTACCCCTAATAAAACTAATGATTAGACTGTTTAAAAACCTACCTGGGTCATACAGACAGTTACCAGTGGATCCAAGATTCAAACCTTTGTATTTCAGAGTCCAGAATATATTTTTACCCCTACTTTTTAGGACAAGCAAATGCAGCCCAGTCAACCAACCAAGGTCTACCATTTGCTATAGGTGTGTGGCCTTCGGCAAGTTATCTCATCTTTTCCTATCTCAGCACCTTCCTCTAAAATATCAGGATAATATTATCTACCTCTATGGGTTGTGGGGAAGAATAAACAGCATGATATGCATAAAGTCTCTTGCACAACCTAGCTGCTCAATAAATGGTAGCTCTTATGATTGTCTTAAAAATAACATTAAGTTAATGTGAAATAGTTGTTTTTGCAGGCCAAAAGTGGTCATATAATAACAATTTCATATGGTTCAACCTACTAATAATTAGGCCCACCTCTATGCTTCAAACTAGGTTTCTGTTTCTCTGATAGCCTGCCCTGGTTGAAAGTAGAAGGGGTTGGGGGATTGATGGTATAGATTGCAGAAAAAAGGCTATGGAATGGAGAGGAATTCAGCCTCTGAGCCCCTTTGTTGCTTAACATTACTTGCAGTATTAGCGTGGGTCAGGATGGGGATGGTTACTATGAAGTTAGAAGGACATTTCCCCTTTGATCTGGCTCTCAGGCTTCTAGGAATTTGCCTCCTTCTTTTTTTTTTTTTTTTTTTTTCATGAAATCTTCCACTGCTTTGACTATCTTTTTCTTCTAGGACACGAGATGACCAAGGTTTCACATAATAATGGTAATTCAGTTCTGCACATTCGCTCTCCCTGCCATCATCCATCCAGTTCATAGAAGTGGACAGGATATGAGCAAGGCTTCAGTGATCACTGTCCTAGCCAGATTCTGCCCCAGGGGCACAAGCCTTAAACTTCAGATGCCCAAGCCCCGGCTTAAAAATGGCTCCCCTCACCATGTTTCCCAAGGTTAGCCTCATTTCCTGGGCTTCACATTCTTCCATTTGTGCTCAAGATGCCCACAGTCGATTTAAACACAGGTAAAAGGAGTTACATTTTGGTAGAAGAGCCAAAGAAAACAAAAGTTACAAAAAGGCAGGTATGGTTGTGGAGGGGCCCAACACAGGTCTAGAGTGCTCAGAAAAGACTCCTTTGGAATGTTTTATTCTTAGAGCTCAAGTCTTTCTTGGGATATCCTCAGGGAACAGTAAGGCTTCTTCTCAAAAGAGGGTGACAACCATAAAAAAGAATTCCTGACCTACCTCTCCTCCTTGGCCTCGCAGCTGTGGAGGAGTGGGAAGGTTGAGTGGAGGAAGGGATATCTGCCTCCAACCACGCTAGACCCGACCTGCTGTCACCACCCGCCCCAGCTGGATCCAGAATGGAAACCTGGAATAGCAGGCAAAGCCACCCCCGACACGCCATGTTCCTCCCCAGAACCAGCTCCCTCTCCTTCAGCTGAATTGTCAGGACACAGCTGCCAGGTTGCCAGTCCACAGGTGGAAGTGGAAGGGGATTAAAAGGACCTGGGAAGAGGTTCATTGGTCATGGTGTCTGGCTAGTGCCTTCCGAAGCTACGGTTGTTGGTGTGTGCCTGAGAGTTCCATAGGAACTAGGGACTTCTGGGAGGGAGGAGGAGGTGGAAGGGGCCCTGCTCAGCAAAGCAGGAGCCAAGGCTTCTAGTCCCAACTGGGCACATCGCTTCATTTCTGAGAGTCTCATTTTCTTCAGCCACAACTAATGAATAAAGTCTCCTTCAGCTCCCAAATCCAAATAGCTTTAAGGATTTCCCCTGCTTGCTGCTTGTTATATGTCAGGCCCTGTACTAAGTGCTTTGCACATATTACCTCATTTAATCCCCATTTTGAGAAGTCAGGAAACAGCCTCTGAGACATTTTGTAACTTACCTAAGGTCACTCAGTTGACAAATAGTGAAGGGATGGATTCAGTAGCCTCTGCTGTTAGCCATTGCCTCAGGGCAGGTAATTATTTCTATGAATTCAGCAGGGCCAAGCCAACTAGACTAAGCAAAAGAAATGAGTAGGATCAAAAAAAAAATGTTTCTTTCATGTGCTTTTTCATGCGCAGTGAGTGCAGGGAAAGTCATATATATATGGCTATGTAAATCAGCAACTGCAATATTTGAATCAACAGGAATAAAAAGCCATTCCTCTGTCTCTTAGAAAAAAATAGGCAGATCTGTTTTCTTCTTCCTCATTTCTATTTGAGCCTCTGTACCAAGGAGAAATGAGAAGACAGGACTAGATTCTTCCCAAACACCAGGTGATGCGGTCAGTGAGGAGAGCTCCAGAATCCAAGAGGAAGAGGGACCTGCCTCTAGCCCCCAAGAGGTATGCTGTTCTTCCTACACATCGCAGCTCCCTCCCAGCACTGAGTCCCGCCCTCCACAGAAAGGGGAAGAAAATGCTCCCCCCAGCCCTGCCCTTCCCCAGCCCTCCATCCATCACCCTTTCTTCTTCCTGTCCTCCTGCACAGTCTGATATTGGTGCTCTCTCTTGCTCAGCCCTAAGCCCTGCAGATCTCTAGGACAGGGCATGACTTGGGAAGGCTCCTTTGTACAGGGTGCACTAGAGGAGGTGCCCCAGGCCCTGGGCCATGGAGATAATTGTGTATCTGCTTCTTCTTTACCTTTTGGGTGGGTAGCCTTTCCTTGTTTAAGGGACACTGACTCGAACCATGTCTACTAATCCTTCAGTATGGTTCCCTGGGCACTCAAGAGCAATAGTTCCAGGAAGGGACCCCCACATCCTACTCTAATTACTACTGCAGACACAGAGGAGACCAATTCCATTCCTTCCCTGGCCTCCTGGATTCTTTGTTTACTCACCTCTTTCCAATGACCATGTCTCCCACTTCCCCTTTCCCAGCAACACTCCCCTCTCATCCTCACCTCTCCCCTCCCCCCAGCTCATTTCCCAGAACCCACCATCCATTTATCTTCTCTACTTTATACAACACTGCTGGGAGGAGGGGCTCTTCCTCAGTGGAGCCCAGGAATCTCCATGAGGAGCCCATTCCTCCCTTCACAACCAAAAAATTGCTTCCTGTAGAATAACAAGCAGAGGGAAAAGGCTGGAAGGAGATATGTTATCGGGGTGTTCTTCAGGGGGTGGGACTGTAAGTGACTGACATATTTCTTTTTCATACTTTTCTCTAGTTTTTACATTTTCTATTATGAGCAGATTACTTTTATAATCAGTAAATATTTAGAGGCGAGGTTAAAGCACAGCTCTTCGAAGGAGACAGGGCTATGTTTGAATCCTGCCTCCACACTTAGGAGTCATGCTTCCTTGGAAAAATCTAACTTTCTAAACCTCAGTTGGCATATCTGTGAAATAATACCTACCTCACAGGTTGTTGCGATGATTAAATATAAAGTGCTGACTACAGGGCAGGCATTCAGAAACTGGCAACTATTATTGAAACTAATAGGAGTTAAAATCGCAGCAACCACCACTTGCCCCTAAGTTTTCTCTGCCTCTTTGTACCCAGACATGGGAAAGTCTCACCTATTATAGTACTGGGCTATCCTTTCCTTCCAAAGCTCACTTGTTTTCCTTTACTGTGCCATAAGGTGGCAAAGTCAGTAACCTCGTGTATCATTAGCTGGTTGACTGAATGACTGAAAATACAAGGACTTTGGAATAGTCTTTCTCCGAGTGCAGAGGCAAAAAACAAATACGCAAACAAATACATTTCATATACGTATGACCACTGTACTCTTCCAGTGAGGCAGGAGCCAGGGCCTGTGCCAGGCGCTTTCATACCTAGTCACCTTAACAGCAACCCTCTCGGGCGCTGGGCACTCGCAGTACCCCGGTTTCCGCGTGGGCGCTGACAAATTGCAGACACTTCCTTCCCTCGCCAGCAGGGCTCTCTCGCGGTCACTTCACCCAGCCCCTTCCGAGCGAGAAGGCCTTGGGGGCCGGGACAACCCCTCCCTAGAACCACCCTGACTAGGCTCTTTGCAGCCAGCATCACTACCGAGCTAACCAATATGGACCAGCCCGCGCTGCACAGGGAGCTTAGGCGATCGTTGGAGGGTCATGAGAATCAGCCTGTCCGCCCACCGACGGCGGCGGCAGGGGATGGGGAACGGATTGGGGGCCAAATGACAGGAGAAAGGAGTCGCCGCAGTGTCTCCAGGCGATGGTTTCCAGAGTCCCACTGGGGAGGAAGTTCCTCCTGTCACCTAACCTGCAGTTCCCCTGTTGCAGAGCCCTGCCGAGCTCCCAGTCCAGCCCAGGCTGCCTGGCGGATGGGCGCTCAGACGCCCCCGCGAGTTGAGGAGCATTTTTCCTACGGCTTCCAAGTCGGGCGGGCGCCTTCCACCATCCACCACCCACGCCTCGGCAAGGACCCCTTTTCTTTTTGCTCCTAGGTCTTCTGCATCCACTTCCATTCCTCACTCGCCCTTCAGGGCTTTCTCAGGCGTCTCTCGCAGCAGACCCCGCCAAGTGCCCCTCCCCCGGGCCCTCTAACTTACGGTGCAGCAGTCCATGCTGGTGTCGGGGGTCCTCGGCGGGGACCAAGGCTGGCGCAGGGCGGGGGTGGGGTCTGTGTGGTGCCGGGTGGGGGCTCTGGGGCAGTCGGCAGCCAGCCGACCCGCGCCGAACCTGCAGCTCAGCTCTCGGGTCCGGTCTCCCGCGCTCGGCTCCGCTCGCGAATGTAACCTGAGCCCCGCGGCCGGGAAGCCAATCAGGAGCAGCCTCCGGCAGGGTGGGCGGGGAGAAGTGGAGGGAGGACCACGCCCTCTCGCGGCTGTCTCCGCCGCGCTCCCGCTCCTGCCCCAGCCCCTCCGCCTACACGCTTGTATCCAAGCCTCCTACACACTCCATCCTCCCGGGCGCAATCCCCTGGCTTGCTAGGCGGCAGACTGCCAGGCAGATGTACGCCGGAGTAGGCAGAAGGAGGACCCCGACACCCCGAGCACAAACACCCACATCTGGGCACAGCACCCCCTCCCGCTTATAGAAAACCACGCACCCCTCACCCACCCCTCCACACTTCCACAACCTAGCAGGAGTCCCAAATATGGCTCCCTCTAACTTCACTCCCCCTCAGTCCGCAAAGAAAGGCTCCCTAAGACGTGCGGTAAAAAGGTCTCATCATCACTCCTGCTACAGACGGAGAAACCTGTTGGTACAACCTGGCCATGGGCATGCGTCCACGCAAAAGCTCACAAGCCCCACATGTCCACATATGATTTTCCCAGGCCGCCTTCCAACATACAGACACTGCAGACACAACCTGCAAAAATAACTACGCAGCCCTTCAGTTTCAGGTAAATGTGAACACCCTGTTGTGGGCGCCCGCGCGCTCACGCACGCACACGGTCACCCAACTCAAGCTGTCAGCACGACATATCTATTATTGATCTGTCTATATGAGCTGCAGCAAACAAACAAAATCATATATGCACAACATCTATTTTTGATGCATTTATATATGGGCACCGACTTGGAAGAAGTATCCTCCTCCCTTTCACACCAGACTCGGCCTAACCTTTTAAGCTACTGCCTCAGAATAAGACAAAAGCTGGCCACACTCGCCCTTGCTCCTGGGAAGAAGAAAAATACCCTAAACCCAAGTATAGAGAATTCGAAGTAATTGGCTCTTGGGTCCAAGATGAGGCAGGATGTGGGCTTCGTGAGAGGCTGGGAAGGGGAGCTATGGAAAGAGCATCTGGGAGGGACAGCCTGCCACTGTTGTGGTCGTCAGCCTCCCCCAACTCGGCAGGGTAGAAGAGCTGGCAGTGTGGCTTGTTATGTGGGTAGGGTAGGCCTTCTCTGAGAAAACTAGAAAGTCTTTCTCAGCTAAGGTCCCAGAGAAGGGAAGGAGGAAAGGATGGCTGCTGCTGGGAGCAAAGGTGGGAAATGCCCTGTGGCTTCGGGTGGGACAGCAGATCCTGAGACATGTCTACTGTACATCCCCAGCCCCCGGCCATGGCCAGGAACCACATGGCAGTGACATGCTTCCTTCCCACCTAGATGTTTGGGCCCGAGGCTCTGCTTGCCAAGGGAAAAAAGAGTGGGAGGGAAATGCCTGTGTCCATTCAGGGTGGGGATAAGTTTAGCCAGCTTGCGGGCCCAGGCTGAGCTGGATGCTGGCCGGGATTCCAGGGCTTGGGGTGTAGGGGTGTCTCCCCCAGCATGTTTGGGACCCACCCACTTTTGTAATGAAAAATCTGTTCCCCAATCTGTCTCTGGCACATCCTCCATCTCCCCACCTCCACCAAATGGCCAGATGTCCTGGGAACTCAGGCCCTTGCCTAAATGACGGCACATCTGTGACCTTAGGTTGTGCCAATTCCTGCGGGACTTCAACTCCAGAATCCAGAGAGGAGAGGAAAGGGGAAAATTAGGGGACAGCGTGGATACCAGGCCTAGACTCTGTGCTTTTCTCTTCCCAAATTAGAGCTGAGGAATTCGGGATTTGGTGAGTTTGCAGTAAAGTCTCCCAAGTTGCTAGGCAACATCCCTCTGCAGACTGCACTGCCTCTGGGCCCTTCTTCCTGCTGGTCAGAACTGAAGGGGGGGGTATCTTTACAACACTCCCCCCCCTCCACCAACTCCCACACAGGCAACACAGCCCTTCCCTCTTCCTGAAGGACACCTTTGTGTGGGGTGAGGGTGTCTCTGAACACTGGAGGGCCCATAGGAGGACAGATACGGCAACTGTCAGCTCCATCCGCAAAGCAACCATTTCAGCAACAGCCCACTCAGGGCGCCTACGCAGAACTGGCCACAGTGCTGGCCCTGGGGGATGGGAAGGCTCTGAGGTGAAGAAAAGACAGAGAGGAAGGCAGAGCCTGAGATGAGAAGACAGACACTCACAAACTCAAATACCAGTGGCAGGAGCAGCAACACATATGGCCTCATAGAAATTACACACACAGACCCAGAGATGCAGACACACACACTGCCCACACACCCAGAGACACACACCCTGCACGGGCTGTCACCCACTGACATCCAAAGACACGCTCAGCGTGGGCCCCTTAACCGCTGTGGGGCTGGGGCATCCACTAGCCCTAGTGAAAAGTCCCTCTTCTGAGCCTCTAGGTGGCTGGGGTTTGCCAGCAAGGTAGACTGGTAGGACTCAGCCTGTGATACTCAAATAGATGAGCTAGGAGAAAGGACAGATGCAGTAAGGGATGGCTGGGTCTGCCTCTGCAGGCTCTGGTCTTTGGCAGAATGATGCCAAGTTATACTCCCCATGGTAACCTGCCTGGCCTAGGGCCTGGGTGCCACTGGTCAACATTTGGAGTATGACTTACTGGCCAGATGGGCTTAGACTCGTAGTTGTTCTTGATCTTTCGAATTTTAAAGCTGCTCATCTACTGTGTGCAGCCCCCATAGCTACTGAAGGAGAACGGCTGGCCTGGAAAGGAGATGAGCCCTGGAGGGGAAGGGTCAGGTTAGAGAGGCAGCTGGGGCATGTTGTTGGGTGCCGTGGGATGGAACCAGCAGGAAGCACGGAGGTGAGAGGGGTAGGTGAGGGATAGACAAAAGAGAGGATAAAAGATGGATTAGTGGGAAGCTCCTGTGG